CTCCAGCTACCTGTTTGTCGGCCTTTAAAAAGGAGAAGGAGAAAGAAATAGGAATATAAACTCTCATAAATTTACAAGACTAAGTACAATGGCGGTATCCCTTTGTGCCCTAGGTTCCGAGTTCGTATCGAATAGTTGATAGCTTTGTTTCTTAACTTAGTAGTAGGTTTTCAAAGTCTTTGTAGACCATGCTTGGTCAGTGTCTTTATTACGTTTAGACTACAAAGGCCTACATACGTTGCAATACTCGACAGTCGGGGATAATTTTAATTTAATCTATTTGATTTTAATTTAATATATTACTACACCGTCAAGTTACAGATTCCTACTAGCCTATTCACCTGCATTTAGTTATATAGACGAAATCACTGTATTTTCTCAGCATGAAGATCCGAAAAGGCTTCCGGCCTGATATCAAAGCCCGTAAGAAGTTGGGGTTAGACTGGACTACGGCTCAGAGGGATGCTTTTATAAAGGATATCAAGGTTGTAGATCTTCCACGGTTATCAGTCCCCTACCCCATAGACGGTTTCTACGTGGCAGGTACAGAGAAAGCCAAGGCCGAATGGGATGAGTACTGGCACGGGAAGCCGCTAAAGGACCCTCGCTATAATCGCGGGTTGCGTCGCGAGATTCTAAACCTTGACGAATCCCGCCTTCAGTATATTATACGTCAGGATGAGAGCGTTATATTTAGAGACTCTGACACAAAAGAGCTTGTCCTTGTCGTGATTAGAAATTTCATTCCGGATGAAAGGCTTCGAAAGAATATGGTCGAGCTATGCAAGGAGATCATCAGGAATCGTCGTGATGACCGACGTGAAGACCCAGGAAGTGAGTAGCCTTCAACACTGTGGTTTCTTCCTAGCCGGCTTCAGCTAGTAAATAATTATTTAACCCAACATCCTTTGGACTCATTTTCTCCCCGGGATATACTTACTATAGGTTACAACTTCAAGGAGAAGATATGATGACTAACTCTGGGTTTCTAGTGCTGGTACACTTTGGCTACACCTGTGGGAGTCGTCACGACCCTCAAATCCAACTAGCGGCATCTTCTTTACGCCTCAACACGGCGGCAAAGCAAATAAATGAGAAACAGCTTAACGACAGAGCACAGGGGATGGCAGGGCTCGCGTGGAATATGATGAAATCCCGCTTGCCGCCGGAGATAATTGCGGACTATAACGACACGATCTTCGACAATGACTTCCCTAGGATGGACATGGGCCGAGAAGACGAGAGTTTCACGTTTCGAGTAGGAGGCAAAGACGTTACGTTCGAGGGACTAGAGCTGCCGCCACCATCAGGCATAGCGGCAATTAACTACGCAAGGCACACGCACAGGGAGACGAATGGAAATGATTGGGTTCTCGCATGTACATGCCATGCGCCAGATGACCCGACCAAGGGAGGTAACTTCTACCTGGCTTCGTACGGGATTATGATGCAGCCGGCGAGCAACACCGTGTCGGCCTGGCACCCAAAGGATTACCATGGCACTACACTCTACGAAATGAGAGAGGGCAAGGAACGCCGGGCCGGATACGAGATTCGCCAGGATGGGGCATTTAATGCCGGCCTTGTCTTGGAGCTCTCGAGGGCGTTGAAGAATGCCCGGAAGAACTCAGCCTGGCTTGACAACCGGCGAGCTTCTAAGGGGCTGGAATGTAGACAGAGAAAATTGAGAAGTAGCCAGACCAGGTATGACCTGCGGCGTTCGAGGACTCGTGCAAGAGCTTAGCGAAGAATAGCATATTGCCTTTTAGGCAATATAAAATCATCACGCTATAGACATTGTCAAGGACTCTCGCGATATTTGACTGCAGTGGCTCGCACTAATCGATGCTAGGAGTGATAAGGGGATAAAGGGAGCATATCGTATATAAGTAGACCGTTAGCTATGCCATTAGTTCCAGGTCTTCACGCAACAGTGTCGTGACTATTGCTTTTAAAGGTTCACATCGTGACAAATACTTTAAAGGCCTTTTTTTTTTGTCAAATTTAGCTTGATCTGCCTTACTAGGTAGCCACCTTCTCTAACATACATCCAACTTTTATATTCTCTTAAGATCGATTAATGTCTACCAGAAATATATCCCAGGTGGCCGTACGTAGAAAACGTACCAGTCATGTGTGTTGGTTATCCCATCATTATAAATCCTGCCAATCGAGAGAACATGCACGTACTGCCACCAGTTTAATGCCTCTTCGTCGTCTTCCTCTATACCGTCAAACGTACCGATTCTATAACAATAGCAATGATTTTGTCCCTAACGTAATCGAGGTTATTGCCCCTACTGATAACCAACTCGCCTCTAGTGGCTGCTTGGAAACCTTTAAGCACGTCGTCATTGACGCATACTGTGGGATTTCGAGGTATTAGTAAATAACTACCCCTCCTAATTAGAAAGCATGGGGCCCCCCTTGATATGTAATGCCGGATGCTACTCACTGCAGTATTAATACCGCGACTGGTCTTTAACATCCCGGCTCCCAGGCAGAGCGGCGACCCAGCGGCCGAATATTTCGCGTACTTCTTCTAGCGAACGTCCTTCCAGTGCCTCCCGGTCCTCCTTGAAGATGAGCTCGAAAGTCGACTTGAGCTTCTCGCTCTCCTCGTGTTCTTCGACAGATGCCAGAACTGCATTTCGGAGATAGCTTGTGTATCGTTCCCACAAACCCTGGTCGGTATACGTCGTGCGATAAACGAAGAATCCCCAGGAATGTGGCGTATTAGGCTCCCATAACTCTAAACTGTGGATAAGTTCATAGATGTCCTTATAATCATTATAAACCATCCTTCTAGTTACTTTCGAGTAGATGTTTATGTAGATAGTAATCAAAGAAGCGTAAAAAGAAAGAAAGAAGGAAAGACAGAAAAAAAAAGGTATAAACATGTTTCTTTATTTTAACATCTACAAGACTTAAACTCCCGTAGAGCTTTCTGATAACATGCTTCTATGGGGAAGTTGCATATTTCACCATCATAATTATTCTTAACGTAGATAACTAAATAACTAATTTCATACTTTGACTTTTTGGCAACTCTGTGGCATTTGTGATCAAAGGCAGGGTTAACGTTTTGTTCAGCTATTGTCTTCATGACGCTGTTGGCCAGTTCCGTGGCACCAGCAACTAACAATGCAATACTGTAAGGAGTTCCCCTCGGCCCCAGACTCGAGCAATTATTTCCTTCAGGCCTATCCAGAATTTCCACCTTTGTATCACCAATCAATGATGTCCGTGTCTACTCAAATCTGGGCGTATTAATTGGGAATCGAAAGTGGAGATGTCGAATAGGCGCTTATATTGATGCGTTGACTCCTGAATATGTTTTAATCGACTGCTAATACTAGTTTGCAACGCAGACTTAAAGGTCAAACTTGTGCCGGGACTGAAATACAGACCACCGATCAAAAGTTGTTCTCGAAAGCTGATAAATCCACAAGATCTGCTACGGAACATCCCATCGAGGTGCTTCTTATCTGGTCCCCGCTTGTCAAGTGTTATTGTTGATATATTCCGAATCCCTAATTCTCGGTGGGCTTACCTGGCTTACCTTATCTAACAATACTCCAGTGATTCAGATACTAATGACGCTTTGGCTATAGCAACAATTCGTGAAAGACTGGCTTAATGCTATCCTCAATGGCATTCTCCCTGATGACAAGCTGTCTTTGACGTACATAACCGATATAGATGTCCTCTACGATAATTACATTATTAATGGCAAGATACCGAGTTTCAAACCAGGAACTTCGAGACAAGGCTTTGGCAATACCAGCGATCTCTTCTTTGAAACTCTAGGAAGCACAACCAATCCTTCACCCCTTTTCCTTGTTGAGAGGGGGGTTAATACGAGAAAGGCTCTCAGTTTTGGTCGGAAGGCTATAATAGTAGCTAGTAAATTCGATGGTGCACTTTCAGCTTCTATTAAAACGGACAGTAATGAGGCATTTTTCTACAGCCTATATGCGAGGTCTGTGAAGCGCTACTGAACATCAGATTTCGATGTTTCCCACACTGACGAGAAAACAGACTATAGGAGCTTGGAATTATATATTCCATAAAGGCGTCCTTCCCAGAATCCAGCAGGACAGAAAGAGTCTTTACGAGTCTATCAAATGGACATCATCCAACTCTGTCCCGCTTGCAAATTTGCTCAAGATCTTCCAAGTAATTGAGCCAGTCTGGTGGAAAGCCGCAGCCGTACATTGCAGTGCGCAAGTCGAGGATCTGACGCATGTAAATCAATTTCGATTATATTTTGCGGCAGGACGACTAACTTGTCTCAAGAACTGGATGGAATGCCGTGCGCAGCCGAGCTGAGTAGCTGGGCCTACACATGACGGATGACCAGATTCGCGAAGTGCAAGTCTAGTTAATTGCGAGACTCTGCTTCTTGGGTACTGACGAACGACATGACAGCACTTTTAAAATCAAGCAAATGGCCGACATCCGCCTGCTTGCTATTGACGACACAGACAGTATACTTCGCTTGTTTTCACTTTGGACTTCAGTAAAACTAGGTCAAGATTTAGGCGAGGAGGTATTACGGTAAGTTAATATATATATATTTAAGTTTTTATTATTATATTTAAATAAAAAAGTAAAAGTTAATAAATATTAAATTTATAATTAATTAAATATAAATATAAATATAAATATAAATATAAATATAAATATAAATATAAATATAAATATAAATATAAATATAAATATAAATATAAATATAAATATAAATATAAATATAAATATAAATATAAATATAAATATAAATATATTAAAAATAATTATTTATATATATTTATATTTCTTTTAAAAAATTAAAAAATTAAAAAATTTTAAAGTTAAAATTTAATTATATATATAACTTTAATTTATATTTATAATATGTAAAGTATCCACAATTTAATGACTCATTATTACAACCCTTAATTTGAAGCGTCATTTGATGATTGGATATGAGACAGTTTTAAACAACCTAGACCATTCCCGGACTTGTAGCTCAGTGGCCAGAGCGAGGGATTGCAGTTCAGCAATTATCCCCAGGTCACCAGTTCGAATCTGGTTAAGTCCTCGCTTTTTTTTTATTTCAAGTAAAAAAGATACTTAATATTTTCAATATAAAAAAATCAAGTGTTAATCTTTTATTATCTTTCTCTTTTTTCTCCTTTTCCGGTTTTTAAAATTTTAATCTTTTTTATAAACTTTTTAAATTATTTAATATTTATAATAAAAAATAAACATTAATTATTATAATATAATTTATTTTTTATAAAAAGATATTAAAATATTAAAAATATAATATAAAGTTATAAAATTAAAAAAGCTTTATAATTTATAATTTTAAATAATTTAAATAAAAATAAAAATATATATAAAAATAAAACTAATATAAATATATATAAAATAAAATAAAAATGATAAATTAATAAAAAAAGTTTAATTTTTAAAGTTAGTTATAAACCTAGAAAATCCGTGGATTATATATTTTAATTTAAAAATATTAAGTGCGTCTTTAATATTTTAACACTTTTTTAAAAGAGCGAAGTTTAATTTAAGTAATTAATAACTATTATTTATTATAAAGCTTTATTAAAACTCTTTTTTATAAACTTAGTTTATATAACATTATACTTTTTATTATTTCATATTAAAAACTTTAAAATTAAAATAAATTATATAAATTATTTCACTTTTTTAATTTAATTTTTAATTTTTTTTTATTTAATAAAAAGTTTTAATTTTTTCTTTTTAATTAAATTATAAATATATTTTAAAATAATCCAATTTTATATGGAAAATCATTTCGTCCGCGAGCTTGTTTCATTTACTCGCTTATACAATATGTTAAGTTTTTAATTAAAAACAAAAATCGGGTTTTCCATTTTAGATTATAAACCTGTGACTAAATTCGCTATGCAAGGCGCACACTCCCATCAGATTGTAATAGAGCCGACCTCACAGGTTCCGCCGTTCACCCGTAGAGCCGTCGCTCGGTAAGCGTGCTCAGTGAAGAGGCAAGGGGGCGGCGGGCGTAATCCGCAATTTCCACTGCTATAAGAAAAGGGGCTGAAATTAGAGTCGAGCCCCGGGGCAAGGCGGGGAGACTACCAAATCTATGATAATCCCGTGCTGAGCAAGAGGCTGAGCGGTCAAAAACCTGTCGGGGCGCATTGATGGATGCGCATAAAATCAAGGAATCGATCCAGCTCGTATCCAGGATTGTGGAGGATATCCGGGGGGAGGACCCTCAGGCGGAACAAGGATGTGCCAATTACCGGCAGCCTGAATGCGTGGAGGATCTCGCTTCTACGATGATCAATGATATCCGGCAAAGGGGCCTCTACAATGGGGGAAGACACAAGAAGGCAGAGGATGGCGGTACCGCCTATTGTTCAATGTTGGAAGTCTGAGCAGTACAGTATATGATAAACGTAAGTATGTACGTCAGATAGATAGATGGAATGATGTGCCCTGCTGCGAGCAACCGACTTGGCGACAAGCAAGACATTGCGTATTACGCGAGTGCATGGTGTATATAAACGAGCAAGGTGTGTTAAGAAACCTCTGAGGTAGGCCACCTGCTATAAAGAGATATATAGAGGAGCAATCACAGAGCGATATGCAGTCGTTACGAATAGATTTACGCTGTGTAATCTGTATATTTCTTATATGGACATGGATGCTGTCGATTGGTGGAGAAGACTCGTGTTTATCAGCCGCGCGCAAAAAAAGGTTGGTTACAGCACAAACAGCGAAAGAGTGCAGCGGGTAGATAGGCGAGTTATGTTATCTGGAAAGCTTATTTCGATCCTGTCCTGCGGTGCTGGGTTTCAAGCGAAGCATTTTCCAACAGGACTGGAATCGGTCATAGGTGTGAGTTACACAGAGGGGGAGTAACAAGTTGTACAAATTCGTATCTGTTGTCTTGAGAGCATCGGCACATGCTGCTTTAGGTCCAACTATGTAACATGTACCAATGATTTGTTTCTTTGTGATTGATAATTGTAAGTATGCAAGTATGCAAGGTACCTAAGATAGAGTAAGTAACTTGGCGACGCCGACATGTGTAAATGAAACACCATTGAAAAAGAAACCATCGTCAGATGATTACTTCCGGCAACGATGGCCGGGCCTGTCATTCCGAATAGTAACAAATGAAGAAATAAATTATGTTCTTCGTCAGGTGAGCAAGTCTAAGGCCGACAGGGCGAGCGAACAATTGAAGCAACTTTAATCGGGCAAGGCGAAAGAAACATTGAAGGACAAAGGGAAATAAATTACATAATTGTTATAGCATCCAATTTGGCAGAGGGCTCCCATCAGCCTAAAAATGCCGTACTACTGGCGAGCCTTCCTTATTTTCCTTAGCGTGTTTCGTAGAACTTTCCGAGCCTATATTGAGAATAAACCACGAGAACACAAAGCCAATCAAAACGCAGGATCTGTCAGATTACCCACAGACATTCTCAGGGGTAAGCTAAGGCCTGTGGGTTGAGACCACCTGATGAACCCCACCAAACCGCCAGTGCCAAGTTAAATTATTTATTTTCCTACTGTTGAAGAAATAAAAATACCAGGTACAAGATCGAACGAATCTATACCTAGGTAGATATTTATTACACTACAATAAAATGATACCTCAGGGCCTTTCGCTTTTCACTTTTCCCTGGCCTCCACATCTCTCAAATAATGCCGAGGAGGAAAAGGCGGCTAATTTATTTTTAATTTTTAAAATCCCTGCTCAAGAATATATGTGCGTATGTTTGTATTCCGTATGCACGCACTAAATTCGTATGGCCATCCTGCGATCAGCAGAACTCTCTCAGTGTAAGAAAGGGGGCCCGGCCATGGAGCCACCAAATACGACGGATTGCAACCTGGACGTGTCATTGGTTGAAACTCTTGTGCCAATGCGTGGGCATTTAGCGATGACAGAATTCCTTCCTCAAGTTGATCCGATGAACAACCACACCACACACCACAGCACATACCTGCCCTGCAACATGGTAAGCTGTCCGATCCCGTCCGATCCTTCTGGCCCATCCCTTCTTCAAGCCACCCATTGGATTATTTGTTTCATCTACTGCACACCGCAATAATCACGGTACATCAAGTACTCTCTACCTAAGTAAATAACGACCTCACATTTTTTTTATCAGGTGCCGGCACACATGACGCTGTTTTCATTCCAGAGGCTAGGCTTGTTATCTTGTCATCCCTCGAGTCAAGTTGCCTACCTGCCTGAGCCTAGGAAAACCAGTTGCCATGCATCTAGCGCGTCCGGAACGTTAGGTAGGTAGGATAATGGCGCGCGCGTACTATAATAATAGTACTTACTTAACTCGTTAGTTGGTCGACTACGGATTACATCCGCAGAATTGGCTGTTTCCCCCCTTCTTTAGTTAAACCCTTCTCTTGTTTTTTTCCTTGGACCTGCATACGCCCCCCCCCCCCCCCTCATCAGCTCGACATCCACTCGCCCACCAGCCAATCTTATACTAGCGCGCTCATGTGGTGGTCTGGCGTCTGCCAACCAGAGGTGTGCAGATGAAGTCAATGCACATATGTAAGGTACCGTTCCTGAATGTGCCTGAATGTAGGTACATGCCTAATTTAGTTTGCATGTGTTTCTAGTCCCCACCACGCTGATTTGCATACCATCGCGGGAGGGATGGCACAAGTACCTCTCCCGGATACCAGCCAATGTACTCTGGTACATGCAATCCCCTTTCTTGCCACCTCGCGTCTAAGCGTCTTTGTGGACTCAGTAGCTGCCAAGTTGAACTGGCATCCGGCGGAGTCCCGGTGCCGCGGCCTTTGTCTTGCTGGGACATGTTTCCACTTAATATATGGCCCAGTCTCCATCTCTCCGATCCCCCTGCTCCCCTTTCCGCTCTTTTTCTTCTTCTCTTGCGCTGTGGCCTTGCTACTTATTTACATATTTGTCCTGCTGTGCTGGGTTTTCCTTTCCCTTCCTTCGATCTTTTCCACGTCCACTCATTCAGTGCTCTGCCGGCTGAGTCTATCTCACTCATTCACTCACTATCGAACAGTCTCTGTTTGTCCATTCTTTTCCCCGGCAAGCCGTCCGCCGTCAGCGTTGGTCGATCTCTGAGCAGACATTCCCCACCTACTCGACCGCAAGTCGTTCTCTATTTCTGAGGGATCAGCACCCAAGAATCACTTCCTCCGAGACGACATGAAGTTCACCACCACACTGGCTGCCGCCTCTCTGGCGGCCGTCGCCGCTGCAGGAAAGGACGAGTTCTCCTTTGCTGTCTTGAGATTTGACGGCGATGGCTTCATGACCGAAGGCCTCGTTGACCCCATCGTCAACCCTGGGGAGCAAGCGGCTCATTATCACGGTGTCATGGGAGGAAGCAACTTTGGCGTCACCGTTGAGGGCGATCAGCTACTAGACTCCAAGTGCACTACGGCCAAGATAAAGAACGATAAGAGCAACTACTGGATTAACTACCTGTTTTTCCAAGATCCCAATGACCCGAGTAGTTTCGAGAAGGTCGACCTGTTCTACATGAACGTCTATTACTTCTTCGAGCCTGGTGACCAGGACATCGAGCCCTTCCCTCCCGGATTGAAGATGCTGAGCGGAAACACCACGCTGCGAACCCCTCCTGCCGCAGGAGGTAAGATCAACCTTGACCCGGCCCAAGGCCCTATCAACCCTGTTCAGTGGACATGCCCTCGCTCTAGCTACAACCCTCCCTCATACCCGGCCGACTCTGATGGAACCACCGCTGGTATTCAAGACCCCCAGAACCAGGGTGCTGGTACCGGTTTCCCCTTGTATCCTTGCGATGGATATGCTTCTCCTCATCGCCAGGACATTCACTTCCCTTCGTGCTACAACCCCGACGTTGGCCTCGATGACTACGAGAACAACATGGCCTGGCCCGAGAACGTCGGAGGTAGAATGAGCTGCCCTGACGGGTACATCCGAGTCCCTCACCTCTTTTACGAGGTGTACTGGAAGACAGATGCTTTCACTGACCGATGGACCCCCGATGGAAAGACCCAGCCTTTCGTTCTTTCCAATGGTGATGCTACTGG